TTTCTAATTTTGGGTTCTACTCTTGGAGTAACTTTGGACCAGTTATTTACTCTATATTTCATGTAGTGTTTGGGTTGCTGGGGGTGGGATGGAGGTCTGTAGTGAACAAAATAGATGAGGTCCTGCTCCCAGAGAGTGTATGGTCTAGTGGAGTGGTTCTCAACCTTCTGGCCCTTTAAATACAGTTCCTCATGTTGTGACCCAACCATAAAATTATTTTTGTTGCTATTTCATAACTGTAATGTTGCTACTGTTATGAATTGTAATGTAAATATCTGATATGCAGGATGGTCTTAGGCGACCCCTGTGAAAGGGTCGTTCAACTGCCAAAGGGGTCGCGACCCACAGGTTGAGAACCGCTGGTCTAGTGGAATCACTGTGTACTTAGTGGTAGCATGTTTCTGATAGGCAAATTGTGTCAGAGACTATTAGTTGCCTACCAAATATTTATTCTCCCCTTTCCTTGATGTGTTCTGATCTTCCCACAGTTTCCAAATTCCCTTACGTGGTCAATGGGATATATTTGAAAGCCATTAAGTTGGCTTCTGGAAAAACTGTTTCAAACAAGGTTGACTCAGTAGGATAATACATCCATTTGCCATTTTCTCCATCCTTTTCCTTCCTGGCTAGACTGCACACGATGGTTGGAGTTCCTGCAGCTATATTTGGCAGTAAGGCAGCTTTGATGATGGAAGCCTTTTGCTATGGAAGGTGGAACACAAACACAGAAGACAGTCAGATTACTGATGCCTATGGGGCCTCCATAGCAGCCTTGGATTGCCTGTTTTGGGACTTCTATGGGAAAGAAAAATACAGTAAGCCTCTATCTCATTCAAGTTTTCTTTAGTTGAGTTTTCTGTTCTTTGTAGTTGAACCTAAGCCTAAGTTAATACACAATGTAACTATATACAATCACCACTTAAATAAGAAATTTGGAAACTCATGACTTTAAAGGGTAACAAATCACTTAATCATCATCTCTTATTCTATCCTATATAATAAAAGGCTAATATGCAAATAGACTGAACGGCAGAACAACCAGAACAACCCAACAACTGGTCGCTATGATGTGCGCTGACCACCAGGGGGCGTCATGGAATATGGCGGGCGTCAGCTACAATGGGATGGTGAAGCAGGTGAGCGGGGGCGCCAGACCAGGGCAGGTTACCGGTCGCTGTCATCGGGGTGAGCCTCTGATGGTTACTGAAAATTCTTTGCTCCCGCGTGCCCCGCGGTCCCGCCCAGCGCTCACACCTGCTGCTGGCACCGGCCTCGCTCGCACCCACAGCCAGCGGTGGAGCTGCTGCTTGCACCTGCTGCTGGTGCCCAGCGTTGGTCCCCATCTCTTGGTGCCAGCAGTGGGTGCGAGCGGCGGCTGCTGGCCCTGATTGCCCCTCAGGGCTTCTCCACCTCCCCCTGCTCCTGAGGGGCGATCGGGGCAGCAGCCGCAGCTCGCATCCACTGCTGGAGCTGGCCCCAATCACTCCACGCAGAGAGGGGACTGGGGGCCATGGGAGGAGGGCCCAGGCAGGGGTGCGGAGGATGGGCTGAGACCCGCCCCTGTGCCCACTGCAGCCTCGCAGCCCACAGTTCCTTTCAAGGTGTGCGAATTTGTGCACTGGACCCCTAGTTATTTAGATCATCACAATGATGATGATAATATTTAATAGTAAGATAATCCTATATAATAAAGAGTTAATATACAAATTGACCATCACTCCAACACACAAGATGGCCAACCCATGTGGTCAAAGATGTCTGCCCCCATGTGGCCACAAGATGGCCACCACAAGATGGCCGGCAAGGGAAGGCAGTTGTGGGTGATGCCAGCAGGGGGGAAGGGCAGTTGGGAGGGACCAGGCCTGAAAGGGAGGGCAGTTGGGGGGAACCAGGCCTGCAGGGGAGGGCAGTTGGGGGGGACCCAGGCCTGCAAGGGAAGGCAGTTGGGGAGGGACCAGGCCAGCAAGGGAAGGCAGTTGGGGAGGGACCAGGCCAGCAGGGGAAGGCAGTTAGGGGAAATGAGGCCTGCAGGAGAGGGCAGTTAGGGGTGACCAGGCCAGCTGGGAAGGGCAGTTAGGGGCAACCAGGCCAGCAAGGGAGGGAAGTTAGGGGTGACCAGGCTGACAGGAGAGGGAAGTTAGGGACAATCGGGCCAGCAGGGGAGCAGGTAGGCGTCGATCAGGCTGGCAGGGGAGCAGTTAGGGGGTGATCATTCTGGCTGGCAGAGGCGATTAGGGGCATTCAGGCAGGCAGGCAGGTGAGCAGTTGGGAGCCAGCAGTCCTGGATTATGAGAGGGATGTCTGACTGCCTGTTTAGGCCCAATCCCACTGGGGTCCCGATTGGAGAGGGTGCAGGTTAGGCTGAGGGACACCCCCTCCCCCAGTGCATGAATTTTGTGCACCGGGCCTCTAGTATTTATATAAATAAATCTTCCTTTGACATAATCTACTTTATATCAATCCTCATTCATTTCTAAATTGAGGGCACAGTTACAATAATGTATCTCATTATTTTCTCCAGATAGTCCTTCCTGGATTATCCTCATGTACGTGTACTTCTGTTTCCTGCTGGGCTTCTGAGTGATGCTGACTGTAAGTGCTTCTCTTAACGAGTCCTTCTTCCTGTACCTGCTCATCCTTCATTTTCACTGACATGCAACCCCACGTAACAGAGACATGCAAACCTATGTGACGTGTCATTAAAAACCAACAATTAGACCTGCTATGCACTCTGTAGATGTGTACCACGTTAGGCCAACCAGGGATCATAAGTTCACATTCAGAGAGAAGACAGGTTAGTGATGCGTCCGATTTACAGAAATCATTCATTATACTCCCTTCCCATTCCTGACCCTTTCATGGTATCACTGTGTGTATTTTCAGGTAACATCCACATGTTTCTCTGTATAATGGCCAGAGGGACTGGGGATGTTGATGCTTTTTGGAAACACTTAGTGGGTTTGCTCTGGAAATTCTGTTCTATTTAAATTCCACCAATGACCTGGACAAATATGCATAACCCTCAAATATGGGGGCGAACCAGACTTCTGTTTCAGTTAACTCTCCAAATTATGACCAAAAATTGTACCTAACACTCTCACAGTCAAATTAGAGCTGACCTGATCGTGAGAGGCAGATATGACTTTTTTTTTCTTCTTGTTGTTTTTTTTCATACTGCCAACTCATAGTTAAAAAGGCAGAGATTCAAAAGGTCAGATGACATAATCTAATATTAATTTCCTGTGCACAACTGTCTCTGAATTTAGTTGTGTTGCCCACAGTATGGAGGATTTGGTTGTCCGTGGACATTAGATCCTGAGAAACACTGATCATGTGACCTACTTATGATGGTTTGACCATGATTTCGGTTATAGCTAGAATTATGCAGACACATTCAGATTTTGTAACTGAATAATTTACTTTCCCTATTGGGAGGGAGGGGTTCATAGTATTGTAAGCTGATTGAATGACAAACACAAATGCCCTGAAGTTCAGGGAAGAGAATTTATGCAGAAAATACACCACCGGTGAAGGCATCACTGCGGTTCTGCTCCTGAGGACGGAAGGTGTGCTCCATCACACTGCGGCAGACACGGTCTGGCCGGAACGTGGGCCCTCGGGGAGGCGTCAGACAGGGCTCTGTTTTTTCCCTGGATGAAGTTCTTGAGTATGTGGTGGAATTTCCTCTTCATTCATTATGCAACATCATTTTCTCTTTTGCTATTGCTTCTGCCAAATCACCTATTTCTCATATGGCTTTGTCTCAAAAGGCTCTTCCCAGGTTCTAAAATCATAGGTGCACATGGGTCAGTTCACAGACAGCTGTGCCGTGTCCTCCTCAACATTGGCTCTCAGCTTCAGAGCCTTGCCAGGACAGTTGCTTTTAATAATCAGAGAAAAAGAAGTGGGGATTTTAGAGAGTCTGCTGGCTCAGGATTGAGAGAAAGGAAGATGTGTGTGGAAGGTCAGGCTTCCATGACGCAAACTCTGAGATGGAGATTGGGGTGCAATATATGTCTGGGGAGGGAGGGAAGCAGGCCTGGGCAGAGGGATAAGCTGTGTGGTGACGCAGCCACAACAGAAGCCTCAACCAGCCCTGCGGAGCTGTCCGCAGTTGGGGCGAAGGGGCCAGTCTTCATCCTGATGCGTACCAGCGATTCACCTGGCCGCCCCAGGGAACTGGTGTGTGGCCTTGGGTTAGGCAACTGGGGCCCAGCTGTGAGCTAGCAACACCCACCATCCCTACTCCCAGCAGCTGGAGTGATGAGCAGATGCAGTGTGAGCAGCAGTGACCATTGGAGCTGATGGCCATTGTCCATCTTGGCCAGTCTCCCCACTCTGCCTGGTTTCTCTGTTCCGTAGCTAGAAATGTGACCCAGGAGAGAACTGTTGGATTAGGAAATGTTCTCTTTCTTTTTAAGCTATGCACGAATTTTCTAAGATGACCACTTTAAAGTGCAGATGAGCTTTATGTGTTCAACAGATAGCTCAACTTACCAAATATATTTTCATAAAGGGAATGTTCCCAGGGACACCCCCAGTACATAAGGCTGAACACAAGGCTATGTGGCTGTGATTGTGTGCACTTTACAGCTGTATTTTCCAGGGGATTTTAACTCCTGTGAGGTCAAGGCTCACCCTTCTCCAGAGCAGCTCACGATCTGGCCCTTGGAAAGATACTGTTCTTGACTGACTATAACATTTGGATTGATAAACTGAAAAAGTCACTTTTTAAAAAACTATTATTGAAAAATCTCACTTTTCTACAATAAGTAATAAAACACAGAGGGCCTGGCATTTGGGAACCAGGGATATGGCTTTGGAGTCAGAAACCTGGTTCCCAAACCTGGCTCTTCTATTAGCTCTGTGACCCCCAAGCAAACCCCGTTATCTCTGGGCCCCAGTCTCCTCAACTGATAAGATGAGTTGTGGGGAAGATTGGGTCGATCTATGTGAAAGACTTTGTAAATTGCAACAGTTCAGATGTCTTGTCACACTTGCTAGAGCTGGAGGAGAGCTGGGCAATCAGCTCAGCGAGTTCTTCAGGGGCCAGATGAGCCCCAGAGGCCCAGGGAGGTCAGAGGACTCGCTGAAGATGGCACATCTGGTTAGGGGCAGAGCGGAGCCAGCCCCCCGCCCTCCTGACTCCGAGGCTAGTACTTCTTCATGACACAAGCCTGCCTCCAGGATTCTCACTGCAGCACCAGGAGGCTGTGTGGCTCACTCCCATGGGACCGTCAAGAGGATTTCATAATGACGATATGTTTGCCAAAGCTTTGAGTCTGTAATCTGGAAACAAGACACTCTTCAGATCTGAAGAACAATTATTCAAAAATTGTTACCCTGGTCATTATGTGAAAATCCCCCCTGGGTTACAGTAAAGAGGAGAGGATCTCATCTTGTATCAGTAATAGAATTACTGAGCATGCACATACATGTGGTGTGTGTGTGTGTGTGTGTGTGTGTGTAGCTAGTCAGACAGGGAGACAGGGAAAGAAGGGGAGAGAGAAAGGGAGCCTCTTTAAAAAGCAAAATTACTGTGCTATATATCTTATGTTATTTTCTATCCCCCTTATTTAATAAGTCTAAATTGAGAATTCTTGTAATTCTCTTGCGTCAGTGAATAAGCTCTCAGTGTGTTCAAGCCCTGCAGGGCCTGCAGTTTTTCTGCTTTTCTGTAGATATTCATTTCCAAAATTTCATTACCATCCCACATGTGAGTCATTCACTCCCATGCAATCCATTTAAAACCTCCAGCACACTCTGGGAGACAGAAGGAGAAAGCTCAGAAAAAGCCAAGCTGATTCATTTGATAGGTTGGGGTCTTGCCAACGTGAAATGGGAGAGGAGGCCCGGCAGGGTGGCCCCAAGGTAGCCAGCAGAGACTGTGGCAGCATCTGATCCCCATCCTCCCCAGCAGGGTGCCCTTTCATTTTGCTGTGTGCTGCATGCGTGGGAGTCTGGGAGTAATACAGTCGGTGAGAGAGAACAGAGATGAGAAAAATTCCTTTAGCAGGTTAATAAAAATATAAGCTGAATGTTGTTAAGAAACAATTACACATGTTGCAAGCGCCTCCAATTGGGAATCAGAAGCCTGGGATTGTAGCCCTGGCCTTGCCATTGGCTGGTCCTGCAATGGGGGCCAAGTTATTTAACCTCAGTCATAATGAGGATAATGAAGCTTGCTCTAGTTATTGCACAATGAATGTAAACGTGCTTGGGAATGTAAGCAGCTTTATAGAAATGTACATTTATTTTATGCATTAACTATGAATTATATACCTGACTTCAGCTGGTTCTCCTATACGATAGGCAAGCATGTAGCTTCTGAGAGGATCTTTTTGGCTTCCTGTTCCTTGGAAAGCACACAGTGGCACAGCACTGCTGGCCTGCTTTTTCTCATTAAGAAGGAAGTCGTTTAAGGCATAAACATGACAAATGAGTCCTGTGGAAGCTTTCAAGTCATTGCCTTGGGATCCCCGACATTGGAGTTGGGCATCTGGGCTGTCATGCTGGCCAGGCCAGGAGATTCCTCACATCAAGGTGTCACTTACCAGTAGGTGCCACTCTGTGAGCTGTTGGCATCACTCATTTTCCCAGCTCTACTTAAGAGAGCTAATCAATTTTTCATCTTCCCCTTGAAGCGCCAGCTTGAAAAACAGTGTGAGAAATGCCCGGGGGATGGCCATCCTCTGCCTTCCGCACGGAGAGCGTCCATACGGAGAGTCCTGCTGGCAGGGGAGGCTCCCACAAAGAAGCTAGTGCCTCAAGGAGCCGCTGGTGAGAGAGGGGGAGGCATGGCTCCCACATCCTCATTAGTGGTCTTCATTGTGTGGCATTTAATACCAAAGAAGGAGTCAGATAGTAGCTCTTGGCTGAGTCTACCACTCAGAAATTCATGCAATAGCTTACTGCTCTCAGACACACCACTGTGTGGCCAGCATGTGCCCTCCACCCTCAGAATGGACTTCACTTTCAGAGCTGGTTCTGTGACTGTACCTTAATATTTTCTCTGTCCTCAAAATTTATCTCCTGGGGAAGAGTCACGCTTCCCTTTATATAGGAAATTCAACATAGGGTTGAAGAACTTCTGGGGACTGAATTTATCAACACACCAGAATTGGGTTCCCATTGACATTTGGTGGCTAAGAAGTTCTTTCCTTAAGCTCTTCAGCATCCAGCAGAATTGCTTCATGGTTATGTCAGAGGAAGAAAATGGAGTCTGTGGCACACAAGGGGCATGGCTAACTCAAACTTGGAGAGAAGGGGGGATTCCATGGCCCTGGCGTGGAGCTAGGCCCAGGGAGTGGGATGCAAATCTTTTCTGATTCACATCAGTTTGTAATGTGGGTTCTCTCAGATTCAAGAAGGCTGGGTTCCGTCAGACATCTATTTAATTAGTTCTATAGGGGGGAAAAACCTCAAATGGATAGGGGCTATAGAGAAAAACAAAATTAGAGACAGAGGCAAAGTGAATTGTAGGTTTAAACTAGTTGGAATAAGGGCCTGATCATCCGGGTTAAAATCCTGACTCCATCATTTATTAGCTCAGAGACAATGGAAAAAGTCACCATTACTTGTGTGAGCCTTAGGTTTACCTGAAAGTAATGGAGATAATACTAGCTGCCTCCTCTCCCAGCACCCCACGTATCACACAATTGTTAGGATGGGCCAGAAAGTGTTTTTGCAAGCCATAAAGCACAATGCTTCCAGGATTGGACACATCTTGCTCATGTGTGTGCATGCAGTATGTGTAAATGAATACCAGGCAAGCATTTTGTTCATTTAATGTTTGAGGTTTCCATTTAAAGTTTTCATTTTGTTTGCTAATGGAGTGAAGTGGATGTAAGCATGTCAGGGAAGGGATACTGTCTGTGATATTTATGGCGGGGTGGACGCATCAGCCAATCTGCACTCCCCTGTGGACTGTAAATCTACAACCACAGAAAGTATTTGTCCTGGGATTGGTGTTACATTCATTTTTGGAGAGATAAGTGAGCCTGTGACAAGGCCCTAAGAGTTAAAGACCTACTACAAGAGAAGAGTGTCAAAGGCACACAGTGGGGACTCAACATTATTTCTCTATTCCTAGGAAGCCCCATGATGGTCTAAAATATTTTCCTTCACATCTCCCTGGCTTGGCAAAGTCTTATCTGATCCTGAAAAAAAAATTTAACCTAAGAACTATTTTAATTTGTATTGTTTTGATTTGTTTTTGGAAGTGATTCTTAGTTATTTCGTGTGTGTGTGTTTTTTTAATAGGCACTTTTACATGAAAACCCTCTTGAATTAAAAATAAAGCAATGGTCTCCATATAGGGAAAGATCACTGTGCAATGGTAATTGTGGAATTAGTCATAGCCTTTGTATGCAATTAAAAAATTATTTTCGCTTTCACTGCAAGGAAACTATCAGATTTCAACACCATAGTATTAGGTAGGCCAAGTTCACTCTGTATGGCCTTCAGGTGTAACGAACAATGCATTGAATGACCCTCCCTCCGCACTGCCCTAAAATCGCATTGCTAATGTTGGAAACTAAAGCAGCTGAAATTAAACAACAGATTAAATGTAAAGACAACCTATTTTGTTTCCATGAAAAGGGGGGCCCTCAGGTTTTCTTGTGAAGTTTAAGACCAGTGAAGGCTTTAAAATGTTTCCCAAGAACGACATTTTTAAGAGGGAGGGAAGGAGAGAGAGATACAGAGAGAGAAACTGAATTTTCTAACAATAAGTAATAAAAGTATAAGGTTACACTTTTATATTGGACCTTTTATCCACAGAACTCAGTGAGCTAGAAACATTAAGTACTCACAGATTTATTAGTCCTTATATCTTCAAATTAATTTTATTCACAGACTATAGTTTTCTATCAGCTTTTGGATCTCCATGGAGGTGGTAGTGGTGAGATGTTGCCATTGGACCTGTTTATTAACAGAACGCAACTCAAATTCGAAGGATTCTTCTTTCTGCAGGTCATACAGAGGGTGTGTGTGTGCACTCCCATGTGTATTACAAAGACTAGAGGTCTCTTAGCAGCAACCTCTGCTTTTCTGAAAGTATAGTTCTGTGTGATAATAAATTACTTGAACTATTAGAACTTTCACTTGCCCTCCTCCTTTGGTCTCAATTTCATGAAAACCAAAGCTCTTGTCCCTCATCATAAACATGAATGAAATAAGAGAGCGAAGGTCCAGGAGATGGTTGCTTTCTCCTTGTGGTTCCTCTGGGCTTTGATTTATGACTGGAAAATCAGCAGCTTCTAGCCAACCTCCTCCTCCTCCCTCCTCCTCCTCCTCCTCCTCCTCCTTCTTCTTCTTCTTCTTTTTAAGCTATTTTTATTTATTTCAGAGAGGAAGGGAGAGGGAGACGGAGAGAGAAATAGAAACATCAATGATGAGAGAGTATCATTGATCAGCTGCCTCCTGCATGCCCCCTACTGGGGATTGAGCCTGCAACCCGGGAATGTGCCCTTGACTGGAATCAAACCTGGGACCCTTTAGTCCGCAGGCTGACACTCTATCCACTGAGCCAAACCAGGTAGGGCCCTGCATCTTCTTTTTTAACTTAATAGTGCTGTCTTCGTTAAACTTGAGGATGTCTGTAGTAAATAAAATCATTGTCTATCCTGGCACAATAAAACACTTTGAAAATGTAACCTGTATATCTTATAAAGTGAAGTGTGCTGTGAATTGTTTGTCAGCACACTTTGTAATATCTTGCCATTTTAGTAGGAGGAAAAAATGTTAGCCTGTGTTTTGCTAAGGCCTTGCCCCTACCATTTTATAATTGAGAATGTTCAAAATGTTCTCATTTCAGCATTAGCCTACGTTGAGTATCACATTCCAAGAATTAAATCAGATGACGAGCTAAGGCTTTATTCCAACATTATGAAGAGGCCAGGAGAAAAATGGGACCTGACAGGCCATCTGCACTACAGGCTCCCAACAACTCTGCATGAGTTGCCTGCAAAACCACGGTAAGCAGCAGCCGCCTCAGAGGGAGGCTCTCTTGACCTTGGGGCTATGGCAGCGTTCGCCTTGGGGCAAATGAAACTGAAGCACTGTCTGTATTTTTCAATATGCTCAGCTCACTCCAAGCGCATGGATGATCACTGTGCTGCGTGAATTTGTAACCAGCCTGCGAAACTTGGCTGCCACCACATGGGCAAGTTTGAGTGGTGGCTGGTCCTGGTCCAGCGGTAACCACTCCAGCTGTGGTGAATCATGGGGAGGTTGTGAAAGAGCCTCTGTCAGAGACTGGCTTCTTGAAGCCCTTTTCCTGCCTGGAGATCATAGAGAAACAGATACCAAGAGCTGAACCTGTCCTATTCAGAGTAGGGCACCAGCATCAGTTCTCCCCTCTCCATTTCAGGCTCAACCTCATTCTCCCTGGTTTCCTTCCAGCCTGAGGTCCCCCCCACCTGACAATACTGCCTTGGTTTTTAAAGTCATAACATTTTGCCTCGAATAAAGCCATTTTGGTTGTTTTGAATTCCACAGCATTTGGTTGATGTGGCCGTTGGCATAAGCAACGTCCTCTTTTCTGTGGAATAAATTCCCAAGCCCTCGCTGGGAAATTGACTCCTAGCACAGAAGTGTGAGAACTGGAGTGAAAAGTGGTGCCTCCAGTTACAGTCGGAGAGATTACTGAGAAATCATTTGAAACCTCAAGAAAAGACAGTGTTATCTACCGAGTCACTAATCCTACTTCCTTAGGACTCTCAGTTCAGGGCGATAACATCTATCTATAATTATTACATCATTTTTTGTTTTGCTATATCAGTAGCAATCAGCATCATAGAAATTCATGACCATGTAATCTCATATAATTTCAGAAATGATCCAATAATGGATTAAAATGAATCCTGAAACCAAAGAAAGAAAATTCAAGGGAAATAACAAAGAGAAATAGATTGGCAGCATAAAGATCCATAAAACGTTTTTTTAAAGAAAAAACCCTCAAATATTTTGATTTTATTTTTACCGTTCAGTGAAGGCAACCGTGCAGTCTGAGATTCGGGAATCCACTGGTGGAGAATTGAAAATGAAACAAAATGCAATAAAGCAGAACTGAGGTAAAATTTTCACCAGGTCTGTTACCCTCTGTAAGCCAAATGAACTTTGAAACTTGATACCAGTTCCCAGTGGTCCAAGTTACTGCCTTTGCTCTTTTTAATACATGGGCTGATTATGGAGCTAATAATAAATGTAATTGAAAATCACTGTTGGATCCTTTGAAGGTTGCTGCCAAATAACATTTTGTGGAAGAATGTAAGAAAAAAAAAAGTCCTGAGGGAAACTTCAAACAATATTTTCAAGACTCAGAATCAACAGTCATGGTGTCAGATTTACCTCAAGAAGTTCACAGTGATTATAAATATAATATTAACTCAAGAAAGCACTATAATTTCCCATCTCTTATAAATGTCACCAGAGCAGTCATTGTCCTAATTACTTAATTTCAGACTGGCTCTGACTGAAGTTGATTTTTTTTTTATTCCTAAACAAATATGTGACTAGAACAAAGTACCCAAATCAATCAGCTATTGTCTGTCAATTGCACCCATGACTTTGGAAATGATGCCACTGAGACAAACTGGGTTTTTTTCACAGAAACAATGTCATTCTGCCCAGACTTTCATTTTAGGACCACGTTTCTGCGGTGAATTAATAGTCCTGGAACTGGGGGAGGGCTGCAATAACAGCTTTCTGCTTTTGATTACAAGGCAGAACGATTTCTGGTTTTCTGTCTTTTGCATTTTGAATGGGACTTCATTATTTTTCTTATTTAGTTGCAGTGTTCAGGTGAGAGAAATCTGAGCCTGTTCAATCAAAGCCCCATATTGTGACTAGAATACAAATCACTTTATTCTGGTTCTTTAAGAAATATAGCTTATTTTGAAACAGAAAGAGTATCAGGGCAAAACATAATTGAGAATTTGAGATGGTGTTTGTGAAATCACGCACATTTAAGCTGAAGTCACTATGTGTTGCCCTGGGTTCCCGGGTAGCCAGCTACATACCTCTCCATCAAAAATGTTTTCATGACACTCTTCTAGGGATTGCATTTAAAATATGATATGTATAAAAAATATACAGAGTCGGGTGTTGGGGAGGAATGTTATCCCAGACGATCACCATGTTTATAACTTGGGGGAGATGACTAATTGAGGTAAGAGGCATTGAAGCCTGCTGATTTCAGCAGGCAGAGGTGTGAAGAGAGAAAAATGGAGGGATGAATTCTAATCTCCCTTGGGACGTGGAAAATTACTGAATTGCCTTTCCTTTATTTAACTTCCATCCCCTGAAAAAATGATGGTGCCGTTGTATACCTAATCACAAGGCTGACCAAAATCTCTGTAAAGGGCTTTTTCAGAGCGATGGTCCCGCATGCTTAATGGTAAAAGCAGAGAGCTCAAGGCTGAATTAGACTTTCTTGAAAATAGAGTGAAACCTCTTATTTCCTTATTATTATTTATATTTTCCATTAATTAATGCCTCTTCCAAACTCCTGGCATTTTCTGTGTAGAAAGATGTTGTATACCAGTTTGGCTCCACATTGAACAACACCAATTCCTCTCTCATGTGACTGTCCTAAAAATATTTGAAACAGCTGTCATGATGTCCTTAAGAATTCTTCTCTCCAGGCTAAACAAGCCCAGCCCTTTGTAGGCCATGGTTTTAAGTGCTCTTGTTGTCATAGGTTCTCCTGGCTGGATGGGTTTCAGGTAACAAAGGTCTTTTCTAATGGCAAGATATTGGGAGCAGAATATGGGGCCCACATTGTGGTATGTCCATGTGGATTCTGGCAAGAATTCCTGCTTCACATATTCAGCTTACTATGGCTCTTTAAAGACAGCTGAAGTTAAATCAGTTATTTTTGGAGGCCACAATCAGATCATTGGCTCCTGTTGGACTTGGAGTCAATTAAAATCACAAGTCTTTTCCAGGCATGCTCCTGCTAAGCCACTGTGTATATATGTATTATAGCTTGTTTGAAGGCCTATTCCCTTGGGTGAATACACAAAGCCTTCTTACTGTGACTTCATCTGGCCTCTCTAATGAAACACCTAACACCCGAATGAATGGGGCCCTTGGATTGTATTTCTCTCCATTTCTGGAAAACGGTCTTTATTCATTTAAAAGTAGACAGAAATAATTACTGTTAGACAAGGAAATAGGAAGTTCCAGTATCTTTTCTTTGGATGACAAACCACTATATTTTGCTTTCATAAAAATTTGAATGGCTCTGCTACTCTCGGGAAATGTATTTTGGATTCTGAAGGTTCACTTCCATAAAGCTCCAACAAGGTGCATCTGAGTAAAGGGGACATGGCTATGGGTCAAGGCAGGAGGATGGATTTGAAGTTAGGAGGGCTGAATTCTGAACCATTGGTAGTAACTTGCTGGGTTGACTCAAGCTAGTCGGTGGATCATTGCCTGCCTTGTTTCCCATGTCTAAAGGGAGACAAGAAATGCTTACATGGTTAACACTTGCAAAGTAAGATGACACTAGGAAAGCAAGTGACTACAAGTTGCCTATGCTTTGCCCATCACTTTTGACCTCCTTTCCATATATACTTTTCCAGTTGCCTCTAAAAATATAAATCCGCTGGTTCCACAGTTCTAGAACCATGTGACTGTAATCCAAGTCCTGGACTGAACAGAGAACGTGAGAATATTCCTCTCACTATTCTGTCCTCCCATCAATGACACCATGGGTAAACAAGCCCAAGATGGAGGGAGAGACACTCCTAGATGATAAAATTAACTTGTCTCCACAAAATAATAGCAC